CTAATTCTAACTAATTCTAACTAATTTTGCTCTCAAATAACAGCAGAAGAAATCTGCAACTATCTGACAGATGATGCCTCTATATACAGACCAGGGGTGGGTTCCTAACCTCTTCTATAGAAGAGGTTCCACAAATTTACAGTGTGGTTTAGAACCGGTTCCAGCTCCCTACCCCCACCCGTCCACACATCATCAAGATGAAGAGCGAGAGGAGGAATTCTGGGAGTTGAAGTCCACAAGTCTTAAAGTTGTCAAGTTTGAACACCCCTAGGGGTTTTTTTCTAAAGGGTTGGGGGTGCAAGGGTCTTGTAACTTGACAGCTTGCACACTTCAATGCCAGAGTTCCTGAGCCAACATTTTGGTTGCTAAGCAAGAGTGTTGTCAAGTGAGTTTCACCACATTTTACAAGTTGGCCCCACCCACTCAGTCACATGGGTGGCAAGCCACTCCAACCTGGTCACATGGCCGACAAGCCACTCTCACCCGGTCACATGGTTGGCAAGCCACTCCCACAAAGCAGGACACACCAACAGAAGAGGTTCTAAAAAAATTTGAAACCCACCACTGGCTGTAAAACACTATGAAGTGGTATATAAGGCTACAGCTATATGCCCTGGTGGCACATTGTTTTGCAAGTGCAGTATTGCAGGCTAACTCTGCCCACAGTCTGGAGTTCAATCCTGATGGGGCTCAAAGTTGACTCAGCCTTCCATCCTTCCAAGATTGGTAAAATGCAGACTCAGATTCTTGGAGGCAATATGCAAATGATGCTTCTTCATTGTAAACCACCCAGAGAGTCTTGTAAAGCACTGTAAGGTAGCATATAAGCTTATATGCTATTGCTATTTCTAATGCTATGTTGGAAGAAATGGCCATCTGGGTTCAGTTCCAATTTCAAAACAATGAAAGTAGGCTTTTCCTGAGTCTGCTGATCCAACATTCAAGAAACCCTATCCTTTCATTGATTTGGATAGTAGGTCAATATAAATCCTCATAACCATTGTTGGAAGAAATGTCCCTCTGGATTCAATTCCAAATGGGGGAAAAAAGACACTGGAAACATGGAGGCTGATTTGAAAGATAGTTTAATGGTGGACAGGACCACATGGTTTGAGGTCCTGGGCAATCAAGCCTGGGGGAGAGATAGGGAGAGAGGGAGGGGGAGGGAGGGGGAGATTTATACCCTCTCTTGGGCCTCGCCTTGTTCCTGTGTAAGAAATGTATTCTGATTGGTTGTCAGACTCCCATGGGGCCATGCAGGAGTAACTTGTAGGTTGTCTTGAGTCCCAGGCTTGATTGAGTCTTGCTGGGTGATGTAATGAAGGGGCTTTGGGCAATTCCTATTATGGCTTAATGGCTTTGTCCTGGTTTGGATCTTGAGTGAGGGCTAATCCTATCACCCTGGAGATGAAGGTCTCTTGTAGATAAGATGGCCCAGTCTTTTGTCTTGTAGATAGGCTGGCACCAGTCTTTTGAGGGCCATTAACAAAGGTGGGAGCTGCTTTCCAAGAGCATGTTTCTTCTTTTCTCATCCAGGGAGGTATTCTGCCTTTTTAATATTTCCTAGAATATTTCATTCTTCTAGCAGAGGGGCGGGATGCTGACTTCCTACAGCTATAAGCAACACACACAACAACCAAGAAAAAGTTCACATTCAAAATTAGGTTTTGTATTTTCCCTAGTTTTATTTAAGTTTTAAATAAACCCAGAATATTAGAAAAGCTTATTACATTTCAAATGATTCTCTTCCATCTTGTATCTTAATCACAACCAAGCCTTCTGCTCAAAGAAGCCCACCTCTCTCCTGAAATTGATTTTCATGTACAATTGCACAGTGTGAGAAGGTATTGAGGTAACAATGTGAAACAGTGCCATCTGCCGTGGTTAGATGAAAAATAGGTTAGGTTTCAAAGGGACAGGCCTTTCTAACAAAAGGTGTCTGGAAAGATATTTGGTAGGGAAATCTCAATGACATGTTGCGATCACGTTGTCTTCAGCCTGATATTTGCCGGTCCTTATCTCACCATTTTCTCTACCCCAAATAATCTACTTTGCTCATAAAAAATACCATATTACTCTTACTACTCCAGGTTCCATCAGGTCCACAATGCTAGCATGACAAGAGATGGTTTGGGAGGGTTTTTGTTGAGTGTGTGTGTGTGTGTGTGTGTGTGTGTGTGTGTGTGTATTTATCTACTTATTAAAAATTTATTTATTTCCCATCTTTTATTTTTATAAATAACTCAAGGCAGCAAACATTTAATACTTCTTTGTCTGTTTATTTTTCCTCACAACAATCCTGTGAGTTGGACTGAGAGAGAGTGAGTGATTAAAGTCACCCAGCCGGCTTTCATCCCTAAATCAAACTAGAACTCCCAATCTCCTATCCTGGCCACTAGGCCAAATTGGCTTATATTATAAACTAATATAAACTCTCAGTATAAACTAAGATGCACAATATGTGCAATTATGCATGGTACCCCTGCTATCAAATTATGCTTTCCAAGGCTTCTTGACCCCTTACCCCAATTTGCTGTTGGGACTTAGTAATATCCCTGCAAGACAGCTTACCCTAAAATTCCTTTTTTTTAAAAAAAAAGGTTACTCTCCATGTGGAGGATGCCAGAATAGCTTTTGTTGTATGTGTTATGCTTATTGATATTTACTATATTAAAAATTAAAATGGGTACATTCACTGGTGCTGCTGATACTTCTCATGATTGTTGAGTGGGATTTTAATGTGGTATTATTTTTCAATATAGGCTGGGATATAATTTTGATTTTGAGGAGGCCTGAAAGGTTTTTGTTGGAAACACACTTTAAAGAAATACTGCTTTAGATGTGTGGGAAGTTATCATCCAGCCCTCTCCCAGAAAAATGAAATATCCTAGGAAATATTGAAAAGGCAGAATATTTCTCTGGATGTGAAAAGAAAGAAACATGTTTCAAAAGACAGAATAGTTCCCTGTAGCTTTCTGCTCATCCCCAGTTAATGGGCCATTAAGACTAGCCAGGCTAGCCCACTTTACATAATAAAGACTTCACCAGCAGCTACAGAAAGGCATTATAATATACTCAACTGACCACAAGGCATCTGAGAACTCATCACAGCCTAGAGAGTGATGAAGATGAAAGCGTTTTTGCCTCTCCCCCCCCCCCCCCCCCCCGTCCAGCCCCTAGGAGCACTTGCAGGCTTCAGTGGGGCTGGGGGAAAGCAAAAACACCTCTGCTTTTGCGAAAAACAGCCCATTTTCCACCTATTTTTTACAAAAACGGGAGTGTTTTTGCCTCCCCCTAGCCCTGCTGAAGCCTGCAGAGTGCTCCTGGGGCCTGTGGAGGACAAAACCTTTTTTTTCTTACTTACCACTTAGAGAAATCTTGGCGTAACCGATACACCGGTGTGTTTTATAGTCCAAAAAACATGGTAATTCCTGCCTGTTGTCATTTTCACAACACTTTGGGTTTCTTATGAACACTGCTGATTGATGGTACCACTGATAAAATAGAGAGAAAAAATCAGGATCACCACCACGTTATTTCTTTGGTTTTGATTTAGCATGATTCCTGGAACTACCCACTGTGATTTGCCAATTGCAGTTCATGGCATTGTACGAGAATACAACCATTAGGGTTTGTTAAAACAAAAGCACACACCTTTGTATAGGTGAACCCAAACAGAATTCAACATCCCATACTTTATCTACAATAAAATTAGCAAATGATCTTTCATAAAAATACAGGTACCTAACATGAAAATCAAAATGTCCCATAGTTTTGGACCCATGTGATTGTGACTTATTATTATCTCCACAGCAGCCATTGTCATAACTAATTACAGATATATGGCACAATATCAAAACTTAAACTTTAAACAAAACTGAATCATATTCATATAGAGTATTTCAACTCTGTAGTGAGAACAATTACATGTGTACATTAATTGATGGAGCCTATGTCTCCGGACTTACTGGAAAATTTCCAGGAGAAGGAATGAAAGTCAAGTCAGCCTATAGACTGAGTGGAATGAAGGTCAGAACAGCCTGGTACAGTCATGAACTCTGCATTATTCTCACCAAACAAAACAACCAGATTTTATGAAGAAATCGTTGTTCTGCTTTCAGTGATTATCACGAGGACTATAAACAAAGGTAGGGGAAATGGTTTGCCTTTGTCTGCTTCCTAGAGCTGAGAAAGAGAAAGAAACTGGCCAAAGATCACCCAGATGGCTTTGTGCCTAAGATCTCACAATCTCCTGGTCTCTTGCCTTAATGTCTTAACTGCTATACAGGACTAGTTCTCTTGCTCCACCTGCCATATATCATGGCTTTATTGCGCATTGATAGTATGGTTATTTTTCTTAGTTCCTTTGGGGTCTATTATTGCCTTGAAATCATTTAATTTGAATTTGACATTTGCATGAAATGGAACTGTGGGTGGCAGATTCCTGCAGGACTTAACCCTAAGGAAGTGGGAGCCCAATAACAACTCAGAATATTAGTGCATCAATCCACTCCAGAGTCATTGGCATAAAGTTACCTGATATTTTTCAAACTGGAGTAGAACTAGGATAGTGATGGAGAACCTTTTCAGCGCCAAGTGCCCAAACTGAAATGTACGTGCATGTACATGTGCCAGAGCACCGAAAACCCAAAGACCAGCTGACCGGTGCATGCATGCCTGTTTTTTGGCAGTTTTGGCTGGTTTTTTCAGGCCATTTTGGGGGCCATTTTCTGGTCCTCCAGCACTCGCGAAGACCAGCTGGAAATTAGAAGAGCAGCTGGCAATAGTGTGCATGCCCACAGAGAGGGCTCTGTGTGCCACCTCTGGCATGCATGCCATAGGTTCTCCATCACAGACCTAGGACATAGCTCTGCCTTTGAACTGCAGCTTCTCCTCAACAAGGATGTTCCTGAGGAGCCCTTGTTCCATGAGGAACAATTCCACAAATTAGTGTCACACCATCCATTGGCAGATGCCTTGTAGTAAGGGTTCCCTTGACAATATTTTCAAAGCATTATGTAAGAGGGTTTGTTGCACCACTCACTATCTTCTCTTTGGCTAATGACTCCAATTTAATGATATACAAAGATTTTTGAAATATAAATTAAAATATTAAAATAGATGTCCCTCCACCTTCCCTGGGTCTTTATGCCACCCAGGCTTGGGTCAGTGCTGGGGCTCAGGACCCTGGACAGCACCCCAAAATTTGGGGTAGCTCGTGAAGTATTTTAATGGAGATTCGGGTTAATGTCAGGGTTCCAAATAGCATCCAAAAGTGAATCAGAATCCAAGACAAAGTATTGCTTAAAGTTCCAATTTATTAAGAGAGCCATGTTGGTGCATCTGGGAAAACACAAATCTGAAAGCTTCCTGGTCTTCCCCACCAAGTTGAAAGTTCAAGATCTTGCCCCCATGCCCACAAGTCCATCACATGGTCCAATCTCCCTCTGCCATGCTGGCAATTCCACCCATCCAATTCTGGTCAGGTGCAGAGGTGCAGAGACAAAGGATGACCTTGGTTTTCTAGAAAGAATTTTGTTATGGCTACATAGTATGCAACTCCTTACAATACTCCCTCCCATTTTCCCACAATAGAACATGCATAGCAGATTAATAGAAAGTGTGGCAGGCCAAAGATCCAAAAGAAAAGATGGCTGCAGAACTGACAATAGAAGCAGCAGAGGGCAGAGTCATTTGCCAATTCATGAATTAAAACAGAAAGATAATTCAATGACAGCCTGTTCCCAATGCTTTTTCAGACTTAGAGAAAACAGAGCGGTCCTTTCTGCTCTCTGAGCTTGCTTGTTTTCTTGCCCAAATTATAAGAGTTTATCCCTTATATACAGAAGAACAATGACACTGACATCCCCTAAACTCCGCTGAAGATGTTACTTAGCCTGGTAACAAAATGTTTCGAAACCAACCCACAAGCTTGGAGAACGAACCAACCTATACTTAAGCTACAGATATTTGCCACTGTTGCAAACCATCATCAGTGCTAGTAAGGAGTATGGTTTGCTATTAATTTATATTCTTGTGACTTGCCTTGTCAGTGTTGGTGGGTGTTAATAATGTTAGAGGAAATTTTTCGACTAGCAGAGAAAGAGGGAACGGCTGGCATTTCTATGGTCATATGGAGATTTATGAGGCAAGACTGGAGCTTTCACGCATTATATTTTTGTTTTTGCCATGGAGTTGATTATATTGAAATCAGTTTCAGAATGGTAGTAGAAAGGCATTTCATCTGGAATGGCATTTTTCCCAGTCACAAAATGCTGCAAATAGATTAAATGGAGAGAATGCATAATATTGCCTACAACATCATTTGTCACTTGGTTGAAAGATATATGGAACTGGATACAGTTATCAATCAGAAATGCTCAGTTTTGTTGTAAAAAGAATAACTGGTTCTGATCACACTGGTTTCCTGTTGAGTCATGTAGAAGCATTAATATAATTGAAATCAAGTCAGAGGTGATTTTGATTGATGGAAGACACAGACGAGGCAGTTGAAAAGGAGACTTCTGAGATATAATTGAGAAAAGAGGTGAGATGAAAGAAGGCATGAAAAAGTCCCACTTTTTACTATTATATTGTTGTAATTTTCTGTGTTTTAACTNCCCCCCTTCTATTCTCTGCCTCCCGAGTCCCAGCTGATCTGGAGGGAATGGGGATTTTACAGTATCCTTTCCCTGCCATGCCCACCAAGCCACGCCCACCAAGCCATGCCCACCAAGCCACACCACACCCACCAAGCCACGCCCACAGAACTGGTAGTAAAAAAAAAATTGAATCCCACCACTGAACTATATATATTCAATAGATAACAAAAGCTACTTGAATAAAGGAGTCACAATATAGCAGGAAAAGCAAGTCAGCAGCTCACCACCATTATAAACATACAAACCAGTTCATGGTTCAAGGCCCAAGTATCTTTAAGACTGACTTTCTTCAACTTCTGCCTATAAGATGATGTGGCAACCAGACTAACATGCTCCAGATCCTAGTGAAAATGTAATGTCATTTGATGGCGCCTTGGAGATGGGTCTTCTCTAAAGCTGCCCCACATTAAACAACTAAACAAAAAATGAACAATAATGGCAGCAATATGAAACAACATACCCAGGAAACTATCCATCCCATCCCACTCAAATTCATACCCCCCATTTCATCGGCATGGGCACAAAGCATCCCGGGCCTCTTTTCCAAAAATCAGGAGGATTTGGGGCTATCCTGATCTCAGGAGGGATGTTCTTCAAAGGGTTAGGGAAGAAAAGGGCACAAGGGTTGTAGTTGGGGAAAAACCTTACAGCAAAGCTGTAGTTTGCCCACAGGTTTCCATATGAACAGGTCTCTGTGCTGTTCCTCCATGGACAGGCTTTTTCAGTACATTGAAGAGGACAAAGTCCAGGCGCAGGTTCCTTCAACAGCAAAGCCACTCTTCTTCCTGATAACTATAACAGCAGCGATTTGGCAGTTCGAATCGTACTAGGCTCAAGGTTGACTCAGCCTTCCATCCTTCCGAAGTGGGTAAAATGAAGACTCAGATTGTTGGGGGCAATATGCTGACTTTGTAAAACTGCTTAGAAAAGGGCTGTAGGGGTGGGTTCCTGCCAGTTCTCACCTCTTCTATAGAAGAGGTTCCACAAATCTACAGTGCCATTTAGAACCAGTTCCAGCTCCCTCCCCCCGCCTATCCGCACATCATCAAGATGAAGAGCGAGAGGAGGAATTCTGGGAGTTGAAGTCCACAAGTCTTAAAGTTGTCAAGTTTGAACACCCCTAGGGGTTTTTTNCCTTCCTTCTCATTAGGTGGCCAAAGTACTTGAGTTTCATCTTCAGGATCTGGCCTTCTAAAGAGCAGTCAGGCTTGATCTCCTCTAGGACTGATTGGTTTGATTTGCCACTAGATGGCAGCAAAGGTTTAGAGTTTTGTGTATGTCTTTGCTACCATTTAGTGTTATGTCTGGATTTATGCAGGCTAGAAACAGAGGATGTTTTGGATCCAGTGTCCTTCCTGAGGCGTAAGATAGAAATTTGCCCAAAAAGTCTTGGAGGAAAAAAATGGAAAGCAACTTCAAAATTGCTGCCCAGACACAACTAAAAATCAAATTTGACTCTAAAGATTTATATGTATATAAACTTAACTTCTTAGGAGGGTCTGCGTGCAAATTACTGCATGTAGTAGAGTTTCTCCCTGCCATAAAACATAATAGGATTGGATTTGAGTTGTTCCCTAAATCAAATAAATGTTTTGGTCACTGCTATCTTCGTTTGGCTGCCTCATCCAGAGTGTCTTATTCTGCCGGTAGGAAGGAAAGGGGCGATGTTTAAAGTGATCATCAATTCCTTTATTTCGTCAGATGGGAGAGAGAGAAAAATTGCAACTCCTTTCTATAATTAATACTGAATGCATTAAGAGCCTTTCTAAAAATGGCCTAATAATGATGAATGAGATGCTCACAAGAGAGAGTCTGAAGCGTTCACTTGAAGT